ATAAGGATTTTGTAATGCTATGGTAAACTATATTAAAATAGCAAACAAAACAAAAACACATATACAAAAAATAATCCACACAATCTGTGTACTGAAAGATGACTGAGCAAGAATATGCTAAATTATGACAGTTTGGTACTTAAGATGATTGTCAAAAATCTGGGGAATACAGAAAAACTAAAGAAGACAATTTTAATGTGCACATGTAAACCATCTCTATTCAGAAGAAAAACTAATGAAAAAGAATAATTCAACAATTTCTAATAATAGACGTAGCACAGCTTAGGAGTAAAAGCTGATCTCTATTGGAGCAACACAAAGAGAAGGTTCCCAAAATTCTGTCATTAGAGTTCCATCTAAGTCATCCCTGTCAATATATCCAGTCCAAGTAACATAACCAAATCCTTCATATTGAAACCACTCATGATTTTACCAGGCAATTTGGAATTGTCCCTAATGGCTTTCCAAGGTAATCTGGATTGGCTACCCACAAGCCAAGAATACTTAGAGATAATCATCCTGGAAGCAGAAGTGACCATGGGGATTTCTTAACATTTCTGAGCAATATTATGATTATTTGGTATAATGACAAGAAAAAACAGTGAAAGTATGGGGAAGAAATATTTCAGCTAAACAGCACTAATAATTTGCTGGTAATAGATTAACATGCTACACTAAGTAACATCTTCATCCTCAAAGCTTAAAGCACTTAATATTAGCCATTATGATGCTCAATGGGGAGATGGAAGCTAAACCAGTGAAGTCAAATGCATGATCTTTAGCTACAAGAAAGAACAATGGCTATATAGGTAGCTAAAATTCTAAATTTTATGAAGGATCCCTTTAAACCCCTTTAAATCACACTTTAAATCACAATATTGCTGCTGGCAAATTGGTAGATTTTAATCTTAGGTTATCTTATCTCCCCTGATGCCTGAAACAGAGATCTCAAGTAGACATTAGTGTAAAATTAGTGGGCATTCCAAACCTGCACGTAATTCAGTTCAATTTACCAAATCTTATTGAACAGAAACAGAAAAGTGTAAGAAACCAATAAACCTAGCTCCGTGAGCTTTGTGGAATGAAAAGAGAAGTCACAAGGAGCCTTGATAACACTGAATAATTACTTGTATAGCCATTATCACCATCCTCATTTTCTTAGGGACCAATTAAACATGGAGAGGGGCACAGAACAAGAGCATTTAAGAAAAGTCAGAACACTAGGTGAATCCCAATCCCTGCTTACTAGATCTATGCACTGAATAACAAATATTTGAGGACCCACGAGGTACCAAGCCCAATCTTATATACCGGGGATACAGCAATCATCAAGACAAAGTGTTTGCTCTCATGAGGTCTACACCAGTAGAAATGCCTACTATAAACCAAGGACTAGGGGAAGTGACTCGCACTAAACCTTCAAAACCAAATAAATACCTGCAAATGATGAACCAATATTTCCCAGTAAACTGGATATTTGAGAGGACAAGATTAGCGACTTTATTTTGTTAAGAATGAAATATAATGGAATTTGAGACTTGGAAACAGAAATAGGGCAGAGAAAGATAGATATGCCCTGATTCCAAGAGAGGGGGTAAGTGAGGGAACTCAGCCCAACACTAAAGCCTCACAATGATTTTTCCTCTAATGATACTCAGGCAATTTCAGAGTGGTAGCTTATGAAACAAAGGATTCAGAGAATTCTTTTGCAGATCTTACAGAAATCTCTGATTTCTACAGGACCATGATTATTTCCTAAGCCACATGTGTCACAGAGCAAGACTCCTTATCCAATCAGGCCAGCCAACCAACTGCCCACAATTACCCTAGGCAATCCTACCAAGGCCATACTCTGAGTTAGAATGAAAGAGCTCCCTGATATGCCACAGAAGTATGTTAATGACCTCAGGAAACACATTTACACATATATACACAATGCATGTGCACTCACACATGTGTCTATATGTATATACGTGTCTGTATGTATACATGTATGAGTGTATATATGTGTGGGTGTAGACAGGTAGGTAGGTAAGCCATTCCTCTTTGGTTGACCAAGGAGCAGAGAAGTAGGTCGGAGTTCAAAGCCTATTTGCCCATTTTCTCTAGGGTGAATCATACTTGCCCACATACCAAGAAGGCATTTTTCCACTGGGTTGGAGAGAGAAGGAAAGAAGCAAAGGCCCGTCAACATACTACGTAGGTGATATTTCTATACACGGTCTAACCTGCCCGCATCGCAACCGCCTTCTCTCTACCTAAATAAAAGCCTTCCGACTCTAGGGGTTGAAGCATTTTAGACATATTTTTTATTGCTTTCTTAAGCACATATTGCATGACTATATTTATTAAAAACACTTCAAAACTGGCAAAATTAACCTATCCTGTCAGAAGTCAAGAGAGTGGTTACCCATCATGTGGGGATAGTGCAAAGAAGGTAGCACAAGTGCTAGTAATGTTGTACTTATTGATCCAGATGCTAGTCACCAGGAGTGTTCCCTTCCTGAAGGATCAGCAAGGTGTACACTCATACGCACTATCCTGCATGTATAGTATATCTCAATAGAAACTATTTTTTTTAATTCAGCTTCCTAATAATTTGTGGTTTGTCACTAATCAATAGTTATCTCTTCCTGAGACATTAAATTATACAAAAATCATTCAGAACCATGGACTTTTCTCTAGCCAATTTGGAGACCAATAAAAATAATTAATTCTACAAGCCTTATTAATCTTTCCTAATTGTACCGCTGATCAAATAGCACTTCCAAGCAGTTATATAAAACCACTTTTAAAATAATTCTTGGGAAAAAATTACTTAATTATATGTAGAGGAGGGCATTTTACCAAACTTTCAGGTTAACAACCCCTTTGCACGTTGGGACAAGGGAAAGAAATCTCATTCTTATACACAGATTTTTTTTTTAAAGGTATTTTTAAATCCCTTTTAAGTGCTACATAAATGATTATATCCCAAAGCCAAATGATAGCTATACTTTTACTATCACAAGACTCATGTGTCAAACCTATTTTTATCTTTATTTCTTCTCTTCACTCAACCTGAAAATGATGAATAAAAATGACAGTAATAAAAAAGAGAAACCCTATAAAGCAGAGGAACTTGGGAGCAAGAAAATCTCCAGCAACACAATCTGAGTCCCCCGCCCTCCCCTCTTCCACACTGCTACTCATCTTCCTCTACCAAATTTAAGCACACCTGTACCACTTTTTTCTCTGTAGAAACCTGCAACTGAAGTAATTTATATTAACAAAGGGACTGGACCAAAGTCTAACTCAGGGCCTCTTACAGGAGAACATGCTGATTCTATCTGAAAATTTAATCAAAGCATATATTTTATTCCTTTGATAGAATGGGTCATCTTTTTTACAGAATGGGTAATTTTTGATAGAATGGGTCATCTTTTTTCTTTTTTTTTTTTTGGCAGGGCTCGAACTCACAACCCAGAGCTCAAAACCTGAGCTGAGATCAAGAGTTGGACGCTTAACCAACAAAGCCACCCAGGCGCCCCTAGGATGGGCCATCTTAACACAGCTTTTTAATTTACATACTGAAAAGTTGGGATGTTTAAGGAATCAAATGTTTAAGCAAAAAAAAAGGAAGACAGTTTTCTTTTTTACTTGTTTGAGGATTTTTTTTTAACTCCTTCTTAAAAAGATATATATTCATGACTGAATGTTATCAGCTACACATAACAAATGTCTCTTCACAGACACTGTATATTAAATACAGTTCTCAGTCACTGTCCTCCCCTCTGTCCTACTCTTACTATGGAGGTCTAAGCTTGGAGAAGAGTTCCAACAATGCCAAACACTGCACAGGAAAGGAGCATTCTGACATATGCTGAGAGACGGCTACATATGGACACCTCTGGGCCTGGATCTTCCGGTCCCTGCGTTAGTGTACAAGTATGGAATCCTCCCAGCTCGCCACTATGCACTCTAGCTGGTAGCTGTAGAACCTCTCAAGCCTCATTTTCTCCAAATCTGAAACAGGCACAATGGTGTCTCTACCTCGTGTGTGCTTGTGAGAGTTAGACGACACAATGCGCACAAAGCAATTAATACAGTGCCCGACGCACAGCACACAGGCAATGACAGGTAACTATGCTTGTAGTAATCAAAACTTTTCACTTCAAAGATGACTTTACAATATCACCTGACAAATACAGAATTTAAAGAGACTAATACACTGCCAAAAGGAAAATTTCTCTTTTAAAGTAATCTAAGTTAAATGTATATAAAAAGACTCTGAACGGAGTCTGGCTTCTGGCCAGACGACTTTCAGTCTCTGAATTCAGCACAAATATTATTATAAATAGCTTCAAAAAAAGATCATGTGGACTTGGGAGTGACCGGTTACAAGTCACTTATACTCTCTGAGCCTCAGTCTTCTCACCCATAAAATGGGAATAATTCCCACATCATCAGGTAATACTGAAGTTTTAGACATTATTTTTAAAGTGCCTAACAATATCTTGCACCTTAGTAGATAATTACTGTAAAGCAGATGGAATAAGAGAAGTCCTCAGAGGTCTTATAACAAAGCTGGAAAATTTTGTAAGAGAAAAATTTTCATCCTCTTTCATTTTTCCCTCCTTTGTAGCATTCTTACACTTTGCCTTCTGTTCTAATCAGATGTGTTCCTCCTAATGCTCCACGAGTTGATTTGATTTGACTTATCTCCATGTCTTCTTCCAACCTCTACATCATCCTCCAAGTACCCACCAGTGGCTTGTCCAGGAACAGTAAAAACCTGATGCATTACAAGTCCAACGGCAGAATTTTTATATTCCTTTAAATCCGTCTGAAGAAAGTGGGGCCCTCCTCCCGAAAGAGGAAGAGAAGAACAGAATGCTCCTGAACTCCAAATTACTTTTTTAACCACAAACAGGAGAAATTTCAGAAACAATATTTTAATTAGCTTATTTCATTCTCTACTATCTACCAAGATAAGAATGACATCTGAGAACAAGGCTTACCTATTTGCACCATTTCTTCATTCCCAGCCTGTAAAGGAGGGGGAAAAGTAAAAAGAAACAGTTACTGGGTTTCATCTTATCACCTTGTACGTTCTATTTCTACCAGCAATGCTTTTCAGGAGCTAATCGGGAGATGCGGGATATGATGGGACTGGTGCCTAAAGGCTGCGCCTTGGTTTGTAGGTTCTTGTGGCTACAGAATGAGCCAATTCAATAACAGTCTGGAACGGGGAGTTGTTTGCCCGTTTTAATTTTAATATTTATAAGCCAGCAAAAATAAATACTGCCATTCAATATTCTTTTCTTAAAACTCGGATACTGGGTGAGGATTAGCAAAGAAAGTCTCCGTATTCATATGCGTGACAAGAAACCTAAAAGGGAGCCCGATATATCAGAGTTGAGGTCAAAAATCAACTAGACAATCTTCTACTTTTTTTTAACCTATGGCCACACCAGGCAGACCAGAGAAGCTACAAAAACTCACAGAGAAATTCTGTGCCCAAAGTCCCACCGGCCCTGAGCTGATGTGATTTACAACAAACGGCTCGGGGCTCCGCTCGTCCCGCCGAGCCTTCTCAAGGACTCTTCAGAGAGCAGCGAGCTTCACCTTGAGTCTCCAAAGGGTGGGGGCTGGGCCGAAAAGCAACATAGCTGCACTCAACTTAGCTTTAAAAGAGGAGGAGTTGTGCGGAGGGGGAGGGGAGTAACGCGCCCGGCGCCTCCAGCCTCTGCCCAGGAAAATGCAGGGCAGGAAACGTCCCCAGTCCCCCTCCCCAACTGTCAAACCCCAGCCCGGCCGCGGTCCTCCCAGGACACGTGTCTACTGGATCGCTCCCTGGCCGGCCCAAGGACTTCCTGAAACCCCCGCCTCCGGCTGCCCGAAAAAGCTGTGAGTCAGTGAGGAGGAGAGAAAGCCCCGCGAACCCGACTCCGGCGGCAGCAACCAGAGCACTGGGATCCTGGACCCAGCGTTCAGAACTTCATTCAAGCGCCCAGACCGCCCTCCGGAAAGGGGAAACCCAGATGGCCGGGCGAGGATGCGAATTGGCTGCATTTTGTCACCAGGAATTGTTACGAATGCCGCAAAGGGGGGGGGGGAGCCCTAGGTGTGACAAGCCTGGGCTCCCAGAGTGGGAGTCACAACCCACCCCTGCAATTCAAGCCCCCACCCCAGAAAACCCCGCACGAGGCGCCCAGCCCTCAAACACCGTTCCTGAAGGCACAAGATAACAGGGAAGGGTGGGAGGGGGGAGGAGGAAGAGAGGAGGGGAAAGAGGGGAGGAACTTTTTCGGGAAAAGGTTGGGTTTGAGTTTTTTATTGTTATTATTTTCCACTTACTTGTCCATCAGCTGAAGTCCTAACCTCTACCAGAGCGGCTGCTATCAACCAAAGTGACAGGAGAACCATCACGAGTCGAGTTCACTTTTCAACTACTGGGCAAAGCAAATGCCCAGAGCAAACCCCCCCAAAATAAGTTTCTTTAAAAAAAAAAAAGAAAGAAAGAAAGAAAGAAAAAGAAAAAAATGCAGAATAAAAAAAAAACTGATCTTCTGTGATTTGCTTCAATGAAAATGAAATTTGAGCTCTGAGACTGGCCCCCTCTGCTCTGCAGTTCTTTCCACTTCACCTTCTCACCCCGTTCTCCCAAACAGAGTGTGCAGGAGCGAGAAGGTGCTGCGAGCCGGGCACGGGCTGCGCCGGGAGAGGGGGAAGGGACGAGGGGCTTCCAACTATCTCTGCCCAAAGCGGCTTTTCCTGGGCTTTTCGAGCACCATTGGTTCCTAAGGTTAGCGCGGAGAATGCTTGGGTGCCCTGGAGCACAGCAGGGGGAAGTATTAGCGAGAGAGACGAGCGAGCGGGAGCGGGAGAAAGAGGCAGGGAGAGGGCGACTCCGCCGCTCACACAGAGGTGGGGGCGGGAGGAGCCGAAGGGGAGGAGGAGGAGGCTGGCGGAGGAGGTGGGAGGAGTGGGTCGCTAGCCGGCTCCTGTTGCTCTCAGTGCGGCGGTCTGCTGTCTGCCGGCGACCCGCCGGGCGCTAATAAGGCGGCCGGAGCCCCCCGGGCGGCCCCTCCCGCCGCGGCGCCCACGTCACGCGGGGCCGGGGCCCGCGCCCCCCGCGCCCGCCGGCAGGGCCGGGGCGGGCGCGGCCGGCGCGGGAGGACGGCAAGGAGTGGGGAGGAGTGGGGACGATTCCGCAGGCGGCCAGCCCCAGGCGGGGTCGGGGTTTGAAACCGCTTAGGTGGGGACTCGTGTGGCAGGGGGTCGACCACCCCCCCTCCCCGAGATCCTCTCCTGCCCCCGCCAGATGGGCTAGGGGAAGGGGGCGGTCCAGGGAAGCCGCTGGTCCCTACTGGCGGGACCGGCGTTGAGTTAATTATAGGAAGGGGGAGGGTCCAAGGGCCGCTCCTGGGCTTTAGGAAATTCACCTCCCTCCAAACTCCAGTGTCCTCCCAGCTAGGGAAAAGACTCCCCGGAAAGAACCCCAAGAACCTCCAGGGCTTAACGACGCGGCTAAATGCCCTACCAGACGCCTACCACGTTTTGTGGGGGTGGCCCTTCCCCACTTTTAAGTTCTTGTTTATGCTTTACTCGTTTATATTACTTTTGAAAGATATCATGTCTCTTCCTTGACTCACCCGGATGCTTCCGTTTATCACTAGAGTACACAGGCCTCAGCGTCTCTTCCTCCCAACAAGATTAAGTTATCAAATGATTTCTGCCCACTGTGCTCGAAGCTTCCTGGGAAGAGATGACACCAACCTGGGCTCCAGGGCCCTGAAGATGTGAAGAGACTTGGCTGGAATCCATGCCCAGGATGGCTTCCTGAGGTAGACAGATCCCTGTGGGTGCTTTCTTGGGAGCAGAGGGCTGGAAAAGAGAGTATTTCCACCCTCCTCTGACCAGTTTCGGATCCTCCCTCCCCAGAACAGACCATGAGAGAGGGGTGATTAGGCACAACCTTAGGTATAATCCTCAAAACTTCAACTGGAGTCTTGAAAAGGCCTACCTAAAATAAAGTGTGTAGAAGCTAATGTTTATTTTGCTAAGGGATTCTTCAGTAAATCATAGTTGTTTTCTTTTTTAAAAAATGGTGCGGAGTTTGGAGGTTTCTTATACTTTGATTCATTATTTAAGGGTTGCATCTTTAACTTACACATGGCAAGATTCTGTGTTCACTGGTGTGTTATCTGCTAAGTCTTCTCAAAATCATGTATATGGGACGCTTATATGTACAAATGAGAAACCAGATAACTAAATGGCCAGATAACCTAAATACACCCAATGGGGTATTAGGTTAATTAGTTTTGGGGTGGAATTATAATTAGACCCCGGCACTGAAATATGCTAAGTTACTTTTTCCCTTCAATTAAAGCCTTCAGCATGTTTGTAACCTGTCATTGACTTTCTATCCAGGAGTGATTTGCTGAATTTTATACCTAGTTTTCTCAGTCATTAAAAAGAAATAATCCTCTGGATGTTTCGGTGGCTCAGGTCATGATCCCAGGGTCCTCCCATAAGTCCCACATCGCTCCTTACTCAATGGGGATCCTGCATCTCCCTCTGCCTCATTCTCTCTTTCTGACAAATAAATCTTAAAAAAAAAAAAAAAAGAATCCTCATGTTCTATAAGTAAAAAGTATGTCAATTTACACTGACAAGTAAAAGAATACTAGAGTACAAGTCAGAAAACCTGGGTTCTAGGCCCAGCTTGGTCTGTTTGACCTTGACAAGTCACCAAACTATTTTGGTTTTCCCCCATGAGATATTTCAGCTCTAAAAATTCTCTGATTTTAAGTAATAACAAATACTGTATTTAGACATGGCATTACAGTAGTCCTTTTTGTGTTAAATTTTACGAAGTTCCGACATTTGTTATCATAACCTCTGGCACAACAAGCAATTCATATGGCTTTCATGAAAACAGTGGCTTCAGACATTTGGGGCCATGACCACAGAGAGAAATGTATTTTACATTGTGACCCAGTAAAAATTTCGTGATTCAGTACATGCTACACGCAACAACTCTGATATTTTCTATCCTATTTGTTTCCTGGGTTCTCCCCCTCCAAATCTGGTCAGGATCCACTTCATTGCTTTCAGGACTCAGTGAATCATGACCTTCATTCTGACAAACATGGATTTGAGAGCTTACAAGAAGCTTTATACTTCCTGGATTCTAAATGAGTCAAGTTCAGATTAATAAGTTTCTCCCAGTATACTCTAAGACAAACTTTCTCAAAGTATGTCCTGGAATGTTAAATGTTTTACACACACACACACACACACACACACACACAAATTCTCTGACAGTCAACTAAAATTTGTGACGTACCCAGATAAACAACATGAAATGGATTTCTTTATTTCAGAACTTCACAGGGACTTTGATATCCTAAGCACACTGTGAGTCTTCCAGAGAGAGATACAGTGCTCTACGGTCCTCAGACTGATTTGACCACAGAATGCTTTTTTTCTTAGGCTTTATCTTCTGAAGAACACACTACGTGGAGAAACGCCATTGCAAAGACCAATTATTAAAGTAAAATGAACTCTGAGTCAGATAGGTAGGATTCACATGCAGATTCAGCTTGAATTTCTCAATCTAAAATTAATTTAATAATTCTGCTTTTGCAAAATGTTCATGAAAATTAACAGAACCTTGCATGTAAACTGTTTAGCACGTGGTCTAGAACATAATAAGGGCCTAAATGAAGATTTTTTTTACTTGAAACTATATGGCATATGTACAGATGGCTCAATGGGAATGAAATATGGCGAATTCTAAGAAAAGTAGGAAAATGTAAAGAGCTAAAATGTGATGAACTTTTAATTTTACCAGACATAATGCAGGGAATCAAAAGCAAAGCTGTTATTAAGTTCCTTTCACAAACTGACCCCTATGTGCCTGCTTCGAAGTAAATTCCTGCCTTTCCCTCCATGTTTTTTTGCCTCTAGCTCGTGCTGTTTCCCACACTCACGTCCATGTGCTAGCTCAAATACTAAACCAATGCTTGTAGTAGGTTTTCTTTCAAAATATGTTTGAAGTAGAGAAATAATTTCAAAAGTAGTCATATATATGTAGTCTCCCTAATTGTGAAATCAGTCCCTTTAAGACTTAAGTTTCAGGAAATCAGTTGATGTATGGACATTTTAATCTGTGCATCCTCATATTGGCAACAATTAACTCAGCAGGAGAGTGTGTGTGTGTGTGTGTGTGTGTGTGTTTTCCATTTGAGGCTGACTGGTCAATGTTGTATATCTTGTCATAATTTGACAATAATTTCATACTCCATGTGTATTGTGTTTTAAACATATAAACAAATTTTTGTCATTTCTTACAGCAAAAAAATTCATTTATAATTTGTTGTTTTGCTATTTACCTTTCCCACACTTTTTTTTACAAGACTTGTTTTTAGAGCAGTGTAAGGTTCACAGCAGAGCTGAGGAGGAGATGGAGATTTCTCATAGACCCCCTGCCCCTGCATGACAGAACCTCCACTAATATCAGCACCCTCCAAACTGTAACAAAAGAGTGCTACATTAATTAGAATTGATGAAACTGTACTGACACATCATAACCACCCAAAGTCCATAGTTGACATATGGTTCACTCTTGTTTTTGTATATTCTATGGATTTGGACAAATGTATAATGGACTGTATATCCATCATTATCATACAGAGTATTTTCACTGCCCTAAAAATCCTCTATGCTCCGCCTACTCATCCCTCCCCATCCCCCAACCCCTGGCAACCACTCATCTTTTTTACTGTCTCCATAGTTTTGCCCTTTTTCAGAATGTCATATAGTTGGGATCATGCAGTGTGTGGCCTTTTCGGATTGTCTTCTTTCACTTAGTAGTACGCATTTAAGTTTCCTCCATGTCTTTTCATGGCTTGATTGCTCATTTCTTTTTAGTGTTCAATAACATTCCATTGCCTGGATATACCCCAGGTTATGCATGCCGCTACTGGAGGACGTCTGGGTTGCTTTCAAGATTGGCAATTATAAATAGAACTGCTAGAAACATCCATGTGCGGGGTTTTGTGTGGATATAAGTTTTCAACTTCTTGGGTAAATACCAAGGATCATGATTGCTGGATCATATGGTAGACATATATTTAATTTTATAAGAAACTGCCAAACTGTCTTCCAAAGTGGCTGTACCATTTTGCATTCTCACCAGTGAGGAATACGTGAGAGTTCCTGTTGTTCCACATCTTTGTCAGTATTTGGTGGTGTCAGTTTTCCAGATTTTGACCATTCCTATACCTATAAGTATAGGAATGACCTATACCAATAGGTATAGATTGGTATCTCATGGTTGTTTTAATTTGCATTTCTCTGAAGCCACGTAAGGTAGAGCATCTTTTCATGTGCTTCTTTGCCATCTGTGTATCTTCTTT